ATGCAGTTCAAAGCAATCAATTGATTAAACAAGCTTCTTATGAGACGGTGTGGCAGCATCACCTCAGCAATGGAATGCGTCAGTGTATTTTAATTGCTAAGTGGATGATCCCCGGCTTATCCCTCATAAGACATTATTGTCTTAGAAGAAGACAAAGATATCTTTTGATCTCAATGGAGTTTCATCTGCTGCCATCTCTCCCAGCCCAATAGCCCAGCTGCTTTTGTCAAAACAAGCCTGCCATCATCACGTAATTGAAATGAATGCCTGTAATCAATGAGGGGTTTTCATATGCTGATTCCTCCAACATAAATGCTGTTTACTAAGCACACGCTCATGTACGTTTTCAATATGAATGGCTTCAGACCAACTTTCCTCTTTGTAACTAAACCATTGCACTTTGGGTTTGCCTATTCTTTGGGTTACATAACTTTTTTGTGACAAATTAAAGTAAAGGAATCTATACTTTAGTACTGATAATGCACAGAAGAACATAGCTGACCTTGCTGAATAATGTGGTAGATTACTAAATATTTCTTACATTGGGGGTGGGGGTAGTGTCCAGAGATAATCCTGCCTCCCTTTCTTCACTGGAGGCCAACTGACAACATAATCTGACCTTAAATTAGTCACCTCTGTCTTCAAATTTGCAGCGATAAGTGAATGAAGCCTTAGAAGAGAGTGGTCAGACTACAAAAGACCAGTCACTAACACCCTTAATCCCCCTTAATCCTTGTGACTAAAAGGACCAGCAATGTGTCAGTTCGTTTTTATCCAGTTTGAAAATCTTTCTGTGAATGTAAATTGTAGGTTGCATTCAAGAGAATTATGCTGCACTGATCACAGATAGCCATGTTTCCATCAAATTGCTAGTCAAATAGAACAGGTGAACAAATGAAATGGATAAATAAAGATCAATTACTCTTTTTTTAATTGACTCAAATAAGCTACATCAACTTATAAACAATATCAACACTTCAGGCCTACTGCATGAGAGAAGCCAGCATTGTAACACTGGCAAATAAAACTCTTCACATTCTCTTGTCCGATTGGCTTAATCTTCAACTTTGGAGTCATGTTATGTCTCTCTGCGCACTGGTGAAGTTCCCCTGCTCCCGGCAGACATTTACCTCAGAAATCATGACCTAAAAACAGTTCTTCACTTCATCTTATCAGTATGGGATGCTTACAGCCCAGACTGACCCACGGCTTGCTAATGAAAAAGAGCAGTTAGCAGTGGTGGGTAGAGTAGCCTAAAACTAGCCTCAAGTGAAATTGTTATTTTTGAAATTATGACTGAAGTAAAAGTAGCTACAAAAACCTGAGTAGGAGTGAAGCATCACTTAAAGTCTTAAGCTCCTCATAGAACTGCAGAATACAACATTTATCAGAATAAGGATAAAAGTTTGTTATTCTCATGTATTTGTCTGTTTGGTCTGTGATAAAATGCCAATGCTGAAAAGTGAGAGTGAAGCAGTCCAGAGCTGAAATAACAGAACAGAATGAAATAAAACTTAGCCTAGAATTAGCCTGGCAACTGAAGGGCTGAAATAGAACTGAGGAAAACTAGAGAAAATAGAAAGTAGAACTGACGAAAACTTTTCTCACAAATATGCTTGAATTCAAGTAAAACTAAGAAAAGCAGCATTCAAACACACAGCTCTATTCCAGTAAGATAGGGGTGACCGAGCGGATGGATCTGCCCACCTCTGACACTGACTAGCTTAATTTAGCGCTGTTAAATATATCTGAAGATGCCTAAACCTTCCTTTGTTCGGTTCAGAGGAAAACTGAACGACTGAAAAACTATATCATGTATTCCAAATCTAAAGCTTTTTCCTCCATGCTTCACAAAAGTCCATCTTATCTGTCCAACTTTCTCAACGTGTTTTTCCAACGGACACTCTGTGAGAGCGTTACACTGGTGACATCACCAAGCATCAACAACAAAAAAAGCAGAGTGAGCGCGAGGAGCGAAACCGCCTCCAATCAGCGCGGCTCAAACAGAGCGCGCGGCGCACGCGGTGATGACGTTCCTCAGAGCTCAGTGGCTACAGAGCGCAGGAGCTTCAAACTAACTTTCAGCCTCCGCAGCGCTGCCGGCCAACAGCTCACCTGAACGAGAGAAACACAGCAGAGGAGCGATGTTACAGAGAGGAGACTTTCACCGCCTCCGCTCATGTTCACGTGGATGCCCCCGTTTGCCTTTGTAATCATTTTTGTCTGGTAAAGAAAACACCAAAACAAAAACTTTAGTAGTGTGTTCGACCGACTCACGCAGCCTGTTTGACGGGTATGAAGGAGAGGACGAAGAGAGGAGAGCCGGGCTGCTGCTGCCGCTGCTGTGTGTAGTCCGTTGAATATCCGTGTGGATTTTAACGCGAATTGATGAGGAATTTAAAGGAGACGACAGCTGGAGCAACGACCGACCGCAGCGCTTCCTCGTTTGGTAATGAAACGTTTCGGCTACTATTTGGGGCTCCTTGTTAGTGGAGGGGTGGATGAAGGAGTGAGGGACTTTTGTCTGACTGAAGCCCTCAAGTCTTTCAGTAGTTTCGACCGCTACAAAGAACAGCATGTCTCTTATTACTATTGTATTATTTCCTTATCAGATAACACTTTATGTTTACTTTGTGTACTTAAGGTGTTTGAGGCAGGGCTACCACCTGTAGGTCTCTCTCTCTCTCTCTCTCTCTCTCTCTCTCTCTCTCTCTCTCTTTATCCAGCGGTAAACTCGGCCTAAAACCGCACCACATTTCTTTTTTAGCCACGCAACCAGTCCCTGTGCCGGTCCTCTCTCTTTCTCTCTCTTTCTCTCTCTCTCTCTCTCTCTCTCTCTCTCTCTCTCTCTCTCTCTCTCTTTGGAAGTTTCTTTTCATGCCTGCGCGTGATCTAAAGACAGAGCGTGCAGACACACCGCGCTGCGCGCGCACGCACGCGTGCACACCCTCCTCCTCCTCTTATCTTCGCTTAATTGCAGACTCCGTGTCTGCTCTCTTCATGTCTCCCTTTTCTTTCGATTTTTCTTTCTTTCTTTGATTCTCTCTCTCTCTTTTCCCCGCGTTTCTCCCCCCATGTCTTTCTTTGTTTTACATCCTCTTTGGTCTCCCCTGTCCGTTTTTAAAATTCACGTCAATCTCTCTCCACTGCGGTTAATCACACACGGGTGGGGGGTGGGGGAGCTATCTCTGACTTTTTGTACCTCTGAAACACCTTTAGAAGTGATTGTCCCTGTTTGGGGGGGTGGGGGGATTCTACGGGTCTTCTTCATCTGCCCGCAGATCCTCCTCCAGCTGTTGCTGCTGTTGCTCATGGCACTCTGGAGCAGCAGCGGCAGCGGCGGCAGTGTTTTTGACCGCTTCTTCTTTCCCTCCCTCCCTCCTCAGGATCTGCGTGAGCATGGTGGCCGCGGTGCGCTCCGTCACGGCGCTGCTGCTGCTCGCTCAGGTGCTGCTGGGAGGCGTCGCTGCCGCGCTCGTGCCCGACGTGGAGCGGCGCAGGAGCGGCGAGCAGAGCGCGAGCTTCCTGCGCGAGTTCGAGCTGCGCCTGCTCAACATGTTCGGCCTGAAGCGCAGACCCACGCCCAGCGGCGCGGCTGTCGTGCCCCACTACATGCTTGAGCTCTACCACATGCACGCGGCGGGTGGCGGAGGAGAGCAGCAGCAGCAGCAGCAGGGCGCGAGGAGGAGGCGCGCGGACAGAGCGGCCAGCAGGGCCAACACCATCAGGAGCTTCCATCACGAAGGTGAGCGCGTTTTTCAAGCATTGTTTATGCACAACCGCAGTGTAGTGGGTTTCACTGCTTAAAGGGGAATTCCAAAGAAACTTAGAGTCAGAACTGTTCACAGTGGCAGTGAGAGGAACCAGGTGTCCGAAAGAGCTAGAAGTTATGACAAAACATGGTTAGGAAAATATTGCCTGATAACTGTTTTGTGATAGTTTTACGATAAGGATTTGGCCTACACTCTCTAAAAACATGGCTCTTCAAGGGATCTTTAGTAGAAGCAATGGTTCTATATAGAGCCATTTCATGCTTAAATAGTTCTGCAGATTGATAGTGAATTTTCCTTTTCAAAAAGGTTCTATATAGATCCCTATACAACACATTCTCCATCAATCTGAAGAACCTTTTAAGCATGCAGAAAGCTATGTAAGCATCAAATAGCTCTATATAGAACTCATGGTTCTAAATAGAACCATTGTCTTTAGTAAAGAAGCATTGAAGAACTATCTTCTAACTATTTAGACTATCTAGAACTATCTAGAGTGTACAGTTTATTTTTGTTTTGTATAAACTAGTATCCTAGTATCATCCAGGGAGAAAAATAATACCTTCACAAAGCTGACTTTTATGCATTTAGCCCCATTTTAGGCTTACAAACATTGCATGTAAAAACATTTATCATGACGTCTGGTTACTGTTACTATTGTTGTAATGAATTCTCTATAATAGACTGTTATTCTTTAAAATGCTCCATATGATGTGCATTACATCTAAGGAGTGATGTATGTTTATTTTGAAAAACTGATGGAAGTTCCCTTTAATTCAAAAAGATTCTTGCATCGAGTTCATTTCTGTCTGAAATAACACCAGAAAGGTCCTGCTCTTTCTCTGACTCTCTGATGCAATCATTGAGAAACTGGCTCTGCATTCCACGCCCAGTGCTCACTGTTATTAAAAGAGGCAAAAAATGCTATCCTGACTGCAACCTCTCGGAAAAAAATAGCTGATAGTGTTTACATCTGCACTAAGAATGATTTTCCAGGCACATCTGTGCACATGCAACAGGCATTACCCAAGAATCTGTGCATTTCATAGTACTATCATGAGTCCATGATGGCATTTCCATTAACATTGACTGACATAAGCATTTCAGCATAATGTCTTAGGCCTTTAGTTGCTGACAGCATCATGTTTTTTTGGTAGGCTTTATATGGTTTTTATCTTTACATGACTTCTCAGACTGCCAGGGTATCTGTTTCCAGGGGGCATTTGTTTGTTAATGGGTGATTATGTCCCAATTTGTCAGTTGATGTCTAACCATGCATAGCATTATGAAGTAGTGTATAAGGTGGAGTGTCTTCTGAACTGTTGTCTGTCTAAGTTGAATGTGATGAGCAACAAGTCTTTTCTTGCTCTGTTTTAATGTGACCTTTTTGCTAAGTGATGGGGTAACTTGGGCAACTTAAGTTGTTGTAACATGTGTAGGTCTACTTCTTGTTGGCAAACATTGTATAAATTAAATGTAAATCCCAATAAGGAACTGTTATTTTGAATCAGAAACTCAGATCTAAAGGTTTGTGCAACATATTAGTGTTTTGTTGCAGTGCAGAGTGAATAATCATTTTGGTGTGTTGATTACTAGTTTGTAGTAAAAAGAGTTGGCACGTGAGTTTTTTTAGGGAGGTGTCCAAAAAAGTGAGTCATTACGGCTGCTGGGAGGCCTCACACAGTGATATGGACTTGCATGGATGACACCCAGTGGTGGTGCTGACATAGTGCAAACAATAGCTTTGATCATTTGTCAGTGTCTTGGCAGTGGGCTGCATATATTTGTTCACTGTTAGAAATCCACTTTTTGTTTGTTTCCAAGACATCCAGTTCTGTTGTGCCACCACTCAACTTAATTGCCCCCCATGTCTTATGTTTTCATATTAGAACATTCAGGTCATGCAGTTTAGTTGAGGTCATCTTACTTTAGCAGTAGAACACACTGTTACTTTATGATTTAGACACAGTCTTCACAAATTGTATTATGAAATTACGTGTAATATAAATGTAATTAGATGCATGTCTACCTAAATCATTGGATTCATATCTTCTTCATCTTGTGTTTTTGTTCTGTCTAAAATGTTTTGCAAAGACTTCAGGGGAAGTTTGTCTCTATAACCCCTAGTAACGTTGAGAGTCAAATAGCCTGAAACGTTTGACTTGTCATTAGCTGTTGCCTCCTTGTTTTGGCATAATGCACAAACAGAAATTAGGAATGTTGATACACTCATAACTGTGGCTGACTACTTCAGACATGCCCCAACACGTTCACAGTGTTACTCCCCCTCTGGAGGGACTGACTGAGAGAGAGGGAAAAGAGGAAGAAAAAAGAAAGAAAGAAGGAAGGAGCAGGGCTTTCCCACATCAAATGAAATATGCTGTCTTTTTAGGTGATTATGAAGCAGATAGGTTGGATTATGGAGAATGGAATTTCCAAAACGTCTCACTTTAAAAGAGATTAAGGGTTCTTTGGTGTAAGATTGTCTACTTTTAGTCATCCAAGAAAAAAAAGATGGCTTTTAATGTGATGATTGCAAAAATTTTAAAGGGAAACTTTTGAAGCACCTGCATTTTCCTAGAATACAACCACTCAAAACAGTCCCCCACTTAACTGCCTCGTTTTTAAATGCCTCAACACTTGGCCCAACTATTACTTAAAGCAAGCAAAGACAACACTGAAGGAAACTTATGAGAGGTCAGCCTGGCAAGGTTTCTAGTCATTGATATGCAAAGGAATCTTTGCTTTATAAGCTTAATGTACTCAAAATAAGTATCTGACTCTGGGCTAGATTTTGACTGTGGCTGCCCAGCATCGATGCACTTGTAACACTGCTGTTCTTTTTTTCCAGAGGCTTTAGAGGCCCTGTCCAGCCTGAAAGGAAGGACTACCCAACAGTTCATCTTTAACCTCACCTCTGTGCCAGCAGAGGAGCTAATCACAGCTGCAGAGCTGCGTATTTTCAGAGACCAAGTGCTAAGTGACTTTACAAAGAGCAACAGTAGTGTTGCTGGAGGTTTTCACCGCATAAACATTTTTGAAGTGTTCAGGCCAGCTCAGTCCTCATCTGAGGAGCCTCTTACAAGGCTGCTGGACACTCGTCTGGTGCAGGACTCACATTCACGCTGGGAGAGCTTTGACGTGAGCTCAGCAGTGGCACGCTGGACCGCACACTCACACCACAACCATGGCCTGCTGGTGGAGGTGCTTCACCCTGAGGAGGCCAGCGGAGAGGAAGAGGCTGAGAGGAGCAGGAGTAGGCACGTGAGGGTGAGCCGCTCCCTGCACGGGGACGAGGACTCATGGCCACAGGCCCGGCCGCTGCTGGTCACTTACAGCCACGACGGTCAGGGGGCACCCCTCCTTCAGCCTCACAGAGAGAAGCGGCAGACGAGGCGGGGGCCAAAGCAGCGGCGGAAACCGCACCAGCGCACCAACTGCCGTCGGCACCCGCTCTATGTGGACTTCAGTGATGTGGGCTGGAACGAGTGGATTGTGGCACCGCCTGGCTACCATGCCTTCTACTGCCATGGCGAATGCCCCTTTCCACTCTCAGACCACCTAAACTCTACAAACCATGCCATTGTCCAGACTTTGGTGAACTCAGTTAACTCCAACATTCCTCGGGCTTGTTGCGTGCCCACAGAGCTCAGCCCTATCTCTCTACTCTACCTGGATGAGTATGAAAAAGTCGTGCTGAAGAACTATCAGGACATGGTCGTTGAGGGCTGCGGCTGCCGGTGAGAGTCAAACTCCCAATGAAGACTTTTATTTATATGTACGAACATTCAAAGAGCTATTTTGGAGGGAAAAAAGTATATATATATATATATATATGATAATATTTATATTGACTGAAAAAATGGGAAAATAAATATTTTAATGCTTCTTCAGTGGTTTTGAAGATGTTCGTCCAATGTACATTTCAGTGCAATAGCACATGAAGTATGATGCTCAGATTTTTAATATGTATTTATTTCATCATAACCACTTTATTTGTAAATGAATTATGTGTATTTATCATGGAAAATATATGATCTTCTCCCATCGTGGCTCTGGAGATATATTATTTTAACAAGTTCAGATCTCCTTTCACGTACTGTATCACAATATATTACTGCACTTTGTGTGATAATAATTAGATACATACTGACTTCAGTCAGAGGTGCGTCAGCTTCAGAACAGCTTCTGCAATGCTTAATTGTTTCCTGAGTGGTTCTTGGATATCTTTGTCATGCCTCTCTCTTCCTTTCAGCAGCTTTGATTGTGAAATCTAGCACTGCCCTTTGCCCGCCTTGTCTGGGGGCTGTAGTTTCAGACTCAGATAATCCTAGTCTTGAACTAAATTGCATTGTCACTGTAGGTTCTTCGTTTAAAATCCTATTTAGTCTAAGACTAGGCTTAAGATATGTCTGAACAGCTGGCCCTACAGGCTAGCTGAAATTAACCCCCCAAACACCACACCCAGTACAGGGAGTTCCTTGATGTTCACGTCAGAGCAACATAAAATGTCTCGGTTCAAAAATCTTGTGGTGAGAGTGAGCTATCATTCTGACAGTTAGAAATGTGAGCAGCTGATAAAGACACAATGAAAGGACTGAGCCATGCCATAAATGAGCACTTTATTAATAATCACAGAAACAAACAAAGGAGAGGATTGAGCCTGCTGTGATTGTTCATGCTGAGGCACATTCGACTCATCTCTTACTCTTGGCAGCCTTACTGTGTCATTGTTTAATCATATTGCATTTTTTGGCACCACCATCCTTGGCTTACCATGGAGTGCCAGAAAAACAATTGATTAAAGAGTAAAAACAGCAGCAACAACAAACATATAAATTCAGAGTGTGTAAGATGCTAGCCTGGCGTAAGCATTTTGGATCAAGAAAAATGGAATTATACAACTTCTGAAAGAACTTATCTCAGTGGGAGAGAACTATAATTTGTCTGTTCAAAATACAAAAAAATGGTAAACACTACCTAAATTACTGCAATGAATGTTTGAAGTTTTGTGCCGCAGGTTCAGTGTTTACTTACATATGACATTCAAATATTCACACAAGGTATTTTGCAGCCCTGAAATAATTTTTCAAAGACTAAATCACGGGGCCTTTCCAGCCTGGGGTATCTTTGATTTTGACTGTTTGCTCATGCCTCGCCAACCTGAAGTTTGCAAGAAACATGGTATTTTTGTCTGCGTTGCTTTGTCATCGTATAAAGCCAACCACAGCACTGGGGAGGGAAAAACTGCGTCCTCTGTGGTCAGCATTCACCAGTTCCTTTTTCAGGGCCAGAAGGAACTGTTTTGCTCGAAAAACCTCAGAGTGAAGGTCTTTAATGAAAATTACATTTCACGCAACAGTAAAAACTTACGTTCCTCCAAGCCGTCCAGGGCTCTCTGAGGGGAAACGTACTTTGGGAAAGTGTTCGATTTAATGGCTGGCCTTTACTGCACCAAGTCCATAAAGCTTTAATTGAGTTGTGTGGGAATACGACTCCCCTGCCATGTTTCCCATTTAGTGCACATTTCCCTTGGCCCAGCCTCCGCTCTCCAAGCCCTCTCTGGTCAGAGGGAATGCCATAGAAGGGGTCAGGGTCATAACAGATAGCCCCAAAGGGCATAGGCCTAAAACTTATAACTTGTAACAGTAGCTGAGAAGCATGTGGCTTAAAGAATGTCCAAAGGTTTTCCTCAAAAAACATATTGTTCTCGTTTTCACAGTTTTTTTATGATTATGGTAGGTATTTTGTGAAATATATGCTTCTAAAGTAAGACAGTGCAAAAATGACCTCCCACATGCTACATCCTGTTCTGGGTTCAAAATTATCTGGGACTTCAAGCATGAAAACAGTTTAACAAGATTATGTCCTTGGGTTATTTTAATGTTTTCATTAAAAACTTTTACATTGTAACTGCTATTTACATGTGTTCTTGATAGCCTGGCTGTACTGTGCTTCAGATACCTGTGTGCCTCCGCCTGAGAGAGAAGAAAGAACATAGAGACGAATAGAAACGCATCACCTTCAACTTTCCAACAAATACAGAACAGTAAAATAGTCCCAAGAGAATTACATGTTCTGTTCTGTGCAAGATCCTGCCATGGAAATAATAGCACAAATGTGTGAGTGGAGCTTCTGAGCGCAGTTTTGTTCTATGCCTATGGGAGGTCATTTTTGTACCATATTGTACTCCAGAAGCATGCATTTCACATGTTTTTTTAAGGAAAAATGTTAGACTGTCTTATTAAATCTTGTTTCTTGAATTGTTTCCAAGGAGATCTTGTCCCACAGTGGATCCTTTGTTGAAGAGAGTTGCTGAAAAACTATATTTTACTCTATGAATGTGAATTCAGGTAGAATGTAGTGTTGCAGTATCAAGTCAAGCCTTGAAACCACCGGTCTCAGCATTATATTTACTTGGTCTTGTCTTGGTCTCAGGATAAGGCGGTATTGTGTACTTTTTTATATAGTAACTAAATCTCAGCAACATATTCAAATAGATTCAAATAAAATCTGCACTCATTAGCATACTTTATCTAATTAAAAAAGCAGGTCAGTGCTCTGACAGCTATTCATGACTATGTTTTATTTTAAATAGTTTGAAGTTTGAGATTGAGAAGAAGGTACAGAGAAATACCTTTCAATCTTACCAATATTTACTTCCAAAAGAATGCAGAAGTAGGCTAAGACTACCATGTGTCCATCATGTATCATGAATGTAAAATGAAGAACAAACATGTGGTTCTTTTTTCATTATGTTCTGAAAAAAATCTTAATCTGGTCTTGGTCTTGTTTCAGCAACTACAAAGTCTTGATCTTGGCTCAGACTTGATTTGTTCGGTTCTTTGTCTTAACTCTAATGGCCTCGACTACAGTATGTGTATATCAATCATTGTATCTTAGAGTGGGTTTTCCCACTTTCCTATTTAAAACATCAAAAAAGGACTACAAGAAATACAACCGTAAAGGTTTCCACACGTAGGGCTTAGCGTGCTGGATGGGGTTGGATTCAGTTTGGAAAGGAACTGTAATTTGATTCATCTCACTAAGTGCAAACCACACCGAAAGTATCTGTAGCTCTTCTGACCAGATTCATAGAGCAGCAGAATCAGATTTCCAGATTTCTGGCGGTTGACGTTTGGAAACTATGCAGCATGTAGCTTTGATGAAGTGAACCCAAGCGGGGCAGAATAGGGCTTTTGGCCACAGGCCACGGGGATGCCGGAGTCCGGCCCAGGCCCGCGGTCGACCGGAAGGCCTTTGTTATGCCACAGTGGCGCGCTAATTTGAGATGTGGTTTACTTCGCCTTTCTCAGAAGCGTCCGTAATGTGACGTCCAGCATACTTGGAAACGCAGCATCTGTGAAGTAGCTCAAAACACATCAAAAAGTCTTGTATCCACATTTTGGTAAGAGAGGAAAAACACACACACTCACACACACAAATGACTTTTCCAGAGTGACCGAAAGACCTAGAAACGACAGTTCTCATTCTTATATCCCTTTAAAGAACACATTATTCTATTACATTATTAGTTTTTATGATGCGTGTGGGTGTGTGGGTGATTGGTAGCAGGGGGCTATGTCTGTTTGTGAGGGCCAAGCTGGGGAAATGTTAGGAAATGACTCAGTAGTATTTATCAAGTCTAATGTTTGTTTGTGCTTTTTTCCACTTCTCCCTCTGGAACAGCAGATTATCCCCTCATTAAGAGTTCACCTAGCAAAAACTCACAGTGACGGATTCATTGCCACTAGCCGAGGCCGGACAGCACCAAAGCTTTTCTTTGCTTCGCTTAAGCCGATGCACACTGTCATTGGAAAATCCGAAGTCACCTGGTGCATTTTTGCTTCGGAAGCCCTTCTAAATGACTTTTTCAGTTAGGATTGACCTCATAGTGTCTGACAGGTGTGGTTGAGCTGAGGAAAGATGGACTGCCTGAAACAAAAGCCTGTATCAATCAGCAGTTGAACTTGACATCTGCATATGTTTTTTCTATGTGCTATTTGCCAAGTTTTTGGAGTACACAGTTTTTAAATATGCTTTTTTTGGCTCTCCGTTACCTTCCAATGAAACATGTGTCGTTTGTACTAATCACCAGAGCAGAGTAATTTTGTCCTCCAAACACAAACAAGCAAACACGCACTCATACACCCACAGAGCAGGTGCCTTGGTGGAGGTGAGTCAGAGCGCTCTCCCAGGCCCTCATGGTCAGATGCACTGTTTTCTTTGATCTTGCGCCAATCCAATTTGACTCATACCTCTAAATATGTGTTGTTGGGACACAGGCCTCTCTAACTCTCTAACAAACCACATCCCTCTTCCCAAGAACCCCATTTAGTCAAGTCTGGTTTCATTTCCTTCAATCTATTGGTCTATGGTCACCATGGCAGCGCAGTGAGTTGGTGCATGAAAGCAATTTGACTTTTCTTGTAAAAAGCTGTGCGGAGCGTGTCTCTGTTAGGACAGTCCCTCTGAGTGAGGGCGCAAACAGATGGCCAGAGAGAATACAGTTTTTGGGCTGTTTGTTCCTACAGGGCAGCTGGAGAGCAGTACTAAACGCAGTTGGTGGTCTAGCTGGTGCGTCTGTTCTGTGTCTTTAAAAGAGCTTTGGTGATATATGTGGACTCTCAAGAACAAGTTCAAGTTTGGGTGCAGTCTCTCCATCGCTGCATCTGAGTCCATTTATAAGATCTTTGAAGTACTTTGTATGTATGTTCATAGCAACAAATGAGCATCGCTTGCTTATGGATGTTTCAAGGTCGTTAGTTGTGAGAGAGGTGAGCTGTGAATGATTCACCTTTTCCTTGTTTATAGTTGTTTGGAGATTAGCGTACCACTAAGGTATGATTTTGGAAAATGTCTAGTACTGCTATCTGTAATCATGATGTGACTCAAGCACTTGAAATCTGATGCTTGAAAGACGATAAAGAATACTAAGCCTGTTTATGACTTAATGCTTTTGGCTTGTCCTGATAAATCCTCATCTTTAACAGATCCTACCAGCAGATGGCATTAACCAGTCTCTCTCAGTGAGCATCTCCTCTTTT